GAGATTGATGGATGGTAGTGAAGGAGGGCATAAGGATGGATGGTGTGGCAGAAACTACAAGCTGTATCATTTGTGTCCACAGATGTTCAGTTGTTACATTTTTCTTGGCAGGCTGTGCTGTTAGCTGACATCCTACCAACACTCTTCATCAAACTGTTCGCTCCCTTTGTGATCCACAAAATGCCTTATGGGTAATTATTACTTTGATTGCTGTTCTTTGTTTCCACTTGCTGTGTTTTTACAGTAACTAACAATCATCACTCACATTATTGGTACGATCTGATTTCACTGCACTGATAATAAACAAATAGTTGTTTCTTTGACAAACTTGCAAATGACAAAAACTGTGACGTCCTTCCTGTTTTACAGTAGTGTGTTTGTATCAGCTGTCAGGATTTTAGCCCCACTGGCAACATGAGGTTTGAGTTTGGTTTAAAAAAAGAGACAGAAGAAGAAAACAACAAGAACTTTGTTTTATTTGCATATTATTCCCACTCAATCCCACCTTTGGCGCTCTTTTTGTGCTGCTGCTGAGCTGCTGTGATGTCTTTTGGCAATAATGATCTCCATTTGTTTTCGTCTGGCTTTAATGTTTTCATGTATATAAGATGTTAAATTTATGAATGAGAGCTTAGCAGTGACCAAACATATGAAATTGGAGCAATAAACAAACATACTTGGTTAATGGCTGTGCCTGGTTTCAGTGGCCCCGGCTGACTAATCAGAGCTGAAAAAGAAAAGAAAAATTGGACTTTATATGTTTTGTGTGTGATATAGTCAGGAAGTCAGTTGTTAACAGACTGAGTTCTTCTTGCTGTCTGCATAAAAACATCGCTGTCATGGTGCTTTCCAGCTTTCCTGGTTAATTCCTGTTCTTTTATCCCAGCATTCGAGTGTTGTTCTGTGCCATCATGGCAGCAACGAGTTTCCTCCTGGTGTCCTTCTCCTCAGCTGTGTGGATGAGTATTCTCGGTAAAGCAACCTGTTAATAATTCAGATCAGATCTTTTATCATTAAGGGTGTCTGATATGGCTCTGATGAGCTTTTAGAAGGTGGATTAGATAAAACTTTGAGTTATTTGCTTCGGTTTAATTTCTTCTTATCTACTGTGAGCATCTGTGGTTGTTCCACAGAAGCTTGATAGAGCTTTACTGCTGCTATAAATAATCATTTATCGTACCAGTTCACGCTTCTGTCAAATACACATATCAAAGAATTTATGAGAAGTAGGCAGTTTAATATGAATCAGCAGTCGGTTACGGGACAGCGATAATGCTTCGATGAATTTTCGGCATGTCCCATGATGAGCTATGGAGCCATTTTAATGACCCTGTTTGTCCTGCTCTTTTTCTGTGTACTAGTTTGTATTTAACTTGGAATGACTCCACAAAGTACTCTGCTGGAATCACAAATTGAAGATGACCAACATTTTGTCGATTGGAAAAGTACCAGTGAAAGAGTGGATGAGGGAGTGCTTTCAGGAAATGCTGAGTCTAAAGGTGATGCAGCAGGTGATCCAAGGCACCAAACATACCAGCCCCAAACTAAAGGCTGCCACCGTAGATACTAGTACTAGTGTTTTTATAGTAATCCTGCTGGCTGTGTATGCATGTAAACCTTTAAAGATGAGTGGACTTTTTGCTGATATGGGGCCAAACTGGCATTTTATATTTTATTTAATTCAGTAGTGATACTAGCACCACAGATCTACTGGAAGAACTGGATACCAGATGCAAAGATGGCCCCTGCTTGCTAGAAATGTCCTGATAGGCTGTAAAGGGCCCAGCTAGTGAAATATTTTATAACACAGTGGAGAGGTGAGTCTGGAAATGATATTTTACATCACAAAGAGGGGCGAATTAAGCATTGATGTTTGTATCAGTATGTAAAGGTGAATGCTTGCACAAATAGTAATTTAGATCTGTGCTCACTCTCTGCAACTGAGAGAGTTCAGTGTTTTCTGTGGACTGTGTCAAAATATCATTCGCAGTAGCATTAGAAATGCTGTATTTTAATAGCCAACGCTATTTCAGACATTACTGTTAGAATCAAGCAGACCTCTATGTGA